CAGTACTCCAGATGTGGCCTCAGCAGGGCAGGGGAGAGGAGAAGAGTAACCTCCCTCGACCTGCTGGCCACGCTGCTCTTCATGCACCCCAGGACGCCATTGGCCTTCTTGGCCACAAGGGCACATGGCTGGCTCATGGTTAGCTTGTCTACAACAGCGCCCAGGTCCTTCTCCACAGCCCTGCTCTCCAGCAGGTCGACCCCCAGCCTGTACTGGTGCATGGGGTTATTCCTTCCCAGGTGCAAGACCGTACACTTGCCCTTGTTGAACCTCATTAGGTTCATCTCTGCCCAGCTCTCCAGCCTGTCCAGGTCTCACTGAATGGCAGCACAGCCTTCTGGTGTGTCAGCCCCTCCCCCATCAGCAAACTTGCTGAGGGTGCACTCTGTTCCTCTATCTAGGTCGTTGATAGTATATTGATGAAGACTGCACCCAGTACTGACCCCTGGGGAACACTGCTAGTCACAGGCCTCCAACTAGACTCAGCACCACTGATCACAACCCTCTGAGCTCTGTCCTTCAGCCAGTTGTCAATCCACCTCACTGTTCTCTCGTTTATCTCGCACTTCCTGAGCTTACCTGTGAGGATGTGATGGGAGACAGTATCAATAGCTTTGCTAAAGTCAAGGTAGACAACATCCACTGCTTTCCTCTCATCTACCCAGCCAGTCATGCCATCGTAGAAGGCTAACAGGTTGGTCAGGCATGATTTCCCCTTGGTGAATCCATGCTGACTACTCCTGATAATCTTCTTTTCCTCCACTCATTTAGAGATAACAGCCAGAATGAATTGTTCCATCACCTTTCCAGGGATGGAGGTGAAGCTGACTGGCCTATAGTTACCCACATCCTACTTCTTGCCCTTTTTGAAGACTGGAGTGACATTGGCTTTCCTACAGTCCTCAGACACCTCTCCTGTCCTCCATGACTTGTCAAAGATGATGGAGAGTGGCTTAGCAGTAACATCTGCCAGCTCCTCAGCACTCGTGGTTGCCTCCCATCGGGGCCCATCGATTTGTGTGTCCAGTCCGGCTAAAAGATCCCTAACTGAATCCTCCTCAACCAAGGGGCAGTCTTCCTTCCTCCAGACATCCTCTCCTGCCTCCAAGGTGTCTGAGATTCCTGAAGACCAGCCGTAGCAGTAAAGACTGAGGCAAAGAAGGCATTCAGTAACTGCCTTCTCTGTCACCAGGGCACCCACCTCATTCAGCAAGGGGCCCACATTTTTCCATGGTCTTCCTTTTGCTACTGATGTATTTGAAGAATCCCTTCTTATTGTCTTTGATGTCCCTAGCCAGACTTAATTCCAAACAGGCCTTAGTCTTTGTCGTTGCATCAGACAGACACACTACAGTAGTTGGTCCTTGTAACAATGTAGACAAGATGGAAGGAATTCAGCAACTATCAGCAAACATTGTCGAGCTCCAAGGAGGACTGTTGAGGACAGATAGCTTAATTTAAGCATGTGGTGTGCAGCTTATCCCAATTAAGGAGATGGGGAAAGGGAGAGAACCGTAAGTATGTAAATATTTGAATGATGTAAATGTCAAACAGAGATTTTCTCTTGTACCCAGTGGTATAAACAGAAAAGATGGAGAAGAAATGAAAGCTCTGTGCTGTATGTACAAGGAGCTTTGCCGATGAAAAGTAATGCAAAGCGCTGATTTCTGGAACAAATGAAGGAAGCTGTGTTTCTGAAGAGAATAACCAGGCTGAACAAGAGGCCTTAGGAAAGAAATCTTGTCCTGATTCTGGTTAGGATAGGGACTTTTTGATTGTAATTTCCATGAATCGTGTCATATGGAGAACTCATAAAACATTTTGTGTTTGGACAGGATGACAGATTATCAGTGTTGTTCTGTAATGCTACTTTTTGAGTTAGTTACAACATATTTCTTATTTGGAAGGCTGTTCCTTTTTGTGTTTTACAACTTTCAGTAATAACATTTGCTGGAGGTGCCTGGGAGGAGGTCTTTGGGCTACAACTTCTGTTACATTTGATTTAACTTTTAACTACCTGTGTAGATGATCAGTGGGTTACTGAAAGAAAATATAATTTCTTACCGGCTTTTAATCTTTTAGTAAGCACATAGGTCAATTTGGAGGGCTTGCTTTTTTTTTTTAATTAAAAAAAAAAAAGATCGTGGCTAAAAGTTGTGTTTTCTAGACTAAAACCACTACCAACTATTCCTGCAATGTTGGCTGTAATACTCATTTGAGGAATGCTCTTTATAGATGTCCTTTTTAAATTTGCAAATTACAACTTAAAGCAGTTTTGATAATCTTTGTTTTGCACAGTTAGCTGAGATGGATATGTTCCCAAATTTAGTTAAACGAATAATAAATTGATGTGAACTCCTAGGTGATCAAAAAATGAAAACCACTGGCAGAGAACAGTTAAAAGCAGGTCTTGCATGGTGTGTCGATAGCTACCATCATTCCAATGCCACTTCAGTAAAATGCTTGGCAGAGTGTACTGTAGGTTTCATCATAAAGAATGTGTGTTTTCAGAAGAAAAAGAGATGATATAAAATTTCTTTTATAGTACTTTAAATATTATAAATTCTGAAGATTTCTTTCTGTAATTGTTTCTGAATATGTCATATATGAAAATGAAGTTAAAAACTGAATTAAGTGAGATTGAAGCTCCTAAAAGTTAAAATCAGCTTGGTATTTCATTGAAGCTTAGCTTTTAATATTAAAGTAAATCCTTGCTTTTTCTAATCCAGTGTAATCTAATTGCAGTTGATGAGTAAAGAGTCTCCAGTCTCTGTTGGAAATGACGCTTACATTGACCTTGATCGGCAGGTACCTAAGACTATCTAGATACTTCTTTTCCTTCAACCATAGCACATCAGTGGCCAGTCATTTTGCTTTATTAAGAAGTCTGTCTTTTTTTGTATAATCGTGAAAGGGTTTTGTGGGAAATTAAAATAAGGAACAGAAAACTAAATTTCATTATTTCAAGTTCTTTTGCTTTAAAAATTGAGTTTACCCATTTTCTGTATTTAAAGGAGAAGAAAAACGCTGTTTGGAAAGCAAGTTTAGCTGTATGACACAGTAAAGCAAAATTGCAGACTAGTGCAAATTTTTGGGTATTGAGAAAGAAGGATTAAAAAAAAAGTATAGTATTTGAATAAAACTTTTTGCCATTACTACTTCCAAAGTCAGTTTAAAAACCCCATAGATGTCGCTCAGAAGTCCTTAAGGGAGTTCTGGGAACTGTTACAATATATAAGAAGTTTTTGAAGAGAATCCATCCTTGTCTGATATATTTAAAGAATAAGCAAAACCAATTGCTTTTTTACTAGCTTAACCTTGTGCTAACACTGTCCTTCCTCATTTTTTTTCTAATTGAGAAGTAGTGTACAGTCGTGTTCCTGTGTTCCTCCACCGTGTGTTCTCTGCAGAAGTATGTAAATTCAGGAAAATGGAATTAATTTTTGTCAACAGGCGCTTGAGAAATAAACTTGAAAAAATAAGATATGATGATTCTGTTTGAGAAAGTCTTATCCAAAATTCATCATATGTAATAATACATGTCTATATCTCTGTATATATAATACACATGCACCTGTTTTATCAGGCCAATTTTTTTGTAGCTATGTTTTTTATGTTATCTTAGCTGTATTCATATGCCAGTTTACAAGATATATATCTTTGAACATAAAGCCTTTGAAGGCAAGTATCTGAGTATTTCCCACTGCTTACAAAATTCAAGGACCTCTTCAGAAAGATAGGCTTCTCCCTCACTATGTTAGTTGTATTCCTGTTGTGCAGTAAGAGTAGCTTCCAGTGACTAGAGAAATTTACCCTAATTGTCCATTCCCTGTATTCCACCTTCCAGTCTTTTCTGTATTTTAAAAGTAGATTGAAAACTGAAGTTATGGACTCTTTGCATTTGTAAAGAAAAGTGGTATTGACAATTTTTTCAGTATACAGAGTTGATGAGTTTGTCAAACCCAAGTTCTTCAGGATTTTTTGACTCAATTCGTAGAATAGATGTGATAATTCTACTGTATTTTTGTAAGACCAAATGTTGCTATTAGGTATGTTTCCTTTTTACTGTCACACAAACTAAATCATAATCATATCTGCTTCTTTATTTCTTTATCAGATCAGAATTGCCTCAGTGTTCCAAAAATTTAATGTATTACCTAAATGTAAAAATAGTTTTAGTTGTGTAGTTCATAATATTTTTAGACACTTCACAGAGAGTGATGAAACTATAAATGTTTGTTTTTCATGGTAGCTGAAGAAAACTACGGAAGAATTAAATGAAGCACTAGCAACAAAAGAAGAAATTGCCCAGAGATGTCATGAGTTAGATATGCAGGTAGGTTTGCTATGTTGTACTTACTAATTTTGAAGTGGGAGACATGTTAATTTTTAGGCAGCTGAAAACAAGAAGTATAGTGTTGAATTTTTAAACGGGGGATGAAAATTGCACAGTAATTATTTTGCTTTACTTGTGCTAGCAGAGTGAATTTCACTATTTTCTTATCTTGATGCAATGTTGCCAGTATTAAGATGATTCATGCTAACAAAACTTTTTTTGATTCAGATAGGAGGAGGAGGTTGAGCTGTGTGGTTCAACTCTGGCATTAGAGAACTATTAGAGGTTGTGCTGGTGTAACAGTTTCAGTTAAGAGTTAAATCCTGATCAGAAGTTACTGTAGTCTCTCAGCTGTGTATGGATTTATACTAAGCCTTACTATAAATCAAGTGTACCCTGTCTGGAAGACAGGAGGAGTGTAAAGTGAGAACTCCGAAAGGCATTGCCCTTGCAATCCTACTTGGGAGTATAATTCAGGCTTTTGCCAAGTGGTTCAGTAATTAGAATTAATGAAGCTGATTTGTGTGTCCTGGTTGATTTTGGTGTGTTTGGCGATTCAAGCTCTTATTGAAGCACTTCCGTCTGTTCAGATGTTCACATTCCCTCTCTTCTCCTCCTCCTGCGTGTTAATTCTATCCTATTTAGTAATATATGGACCCATGCTTCAGCTATTGTTTGAGTTGCAGCACTTTGGGTTCTTTGCACTACTGCCTGTTTTGACAACATTGGCAGAAATTGAACTGTCTTTGGGACTGTGTTCCTGTTTCAGGTCTGCTTGCAGTTGACTGCTGGATTAAAGAAAAAGTCTAGACACAGACTGTGGATATCCAGACCTGGATATTCTATCTGATTGATAAGCATTCTTTCTTTTGGAAATCAGTTTTAAAAGCTTTACTGGGGAGAGCTAGTTTTATTTGTTGGGAAAGTATGCAGACTTTATTGTAATGAAGTTATCTTCTGTGATAAGTTACACTTTTCCTTTAGATACTTATGCGAAACACAATTAAGAACAGTTACATTTTCTGTGTGGTAAATCTGCCCCTAATGTTGCAATGTGTTGGTTACATCACATAGCAATTGAATATCAATGTTTCAGTATATTCTTGTGAAATGTGATTATTTAAGCCTGTATGTTTCCATTTGTGTTGATACTTTATTATGCACATGAAAAAGATTGCTCTCTATAGCCGGATAGCTCAGTTATTACAGTTTATGCTTTTATTACAACAGGTTGCAGCCCTCCAGGAGGAGAAGAGCAGCTTGCTTGCCGAGAACCAGATTTTGATGGAACGTTTAAATCAATCTGATTCTATTGAAGATCCCAACAGCCCTGCAGGTCGCAGGCATTTACAGCTGCAGACACAATTGGAACAACTCCAAGAGGAAACATTCAGGTAGAAAAGCCACACTTGGTTAGATTTTTTCTTTGTAGCTGGCAACAGACATGACATAAGACTCTACTGGCAGTTATGAATTAGTGTAATGGGTGGCATAACCACCGTAGTAGAGTTTTACAGTGTTATGTACATGTTATGATTTACCACTTTACAAGCTCCAGCATAAAAAAAAAATGCATAATTAATGTTGAAATGCTGTATACATGTCACTTACTCTGTGAATTTATTTTTAATTGTTTGTGTGCAATCATTTCACCCATGTTTTTAAAAATCAGTGAGAATGAAAAGTCGTATGCTTTCCTCTAAGTAAATTATTCTGATTTTATTTTTAAGGTGTAGGAATTCCTAGCTGAAAGTTTGCTGTGTGAGGTACTACAGGTGGTATTGTTATACAGCAAAGTATGAGTTTGAAAACAAATTATTTCATATCTGAAAGATGGAGATTATCCACAAGTGAGCTCTGCTCTTCATTTGCATTTCCTCAACACATGGAAATACAGTTCCTGTTTAAATATCATTCCTAGTCTTTTTGACTGTTGCTTTCAGGCTCTATAAGCCTATCCTACTGAAGAAACTGGTGTACTTCACCATCATCTTTTAGTTCTTTTTGCTGTGTTTTCCGTATCCTGTGTGAGTGAAACTATTTCTTTAGACTGCCACTTTTTCTTCTCTTTCAGTCCTCTTCTTGTTGCCCTTTTCTAATTCTTACATCAGCTGTAATGTAACTTTTCTTTTTTGCTTGTTCTGCCATTTTCCACTTCCTCTTGCTCAGCCTCTTTTCTGCGTGTTCAGACACACTCTCTCCCTTCAGTTTCTTGAAAAACATTCAGTGTTTCTCTTTCACAACTGTTAGTGCCTGGTTTTCTTCTTTCTATACATCTACCATGTAACGGCTTAATGTAGTGATGTCTAATGTCCCCTTTTATCTCTTCATGTATGTCTCCATGCTCTGGAATGATTCCTGTCTGAGTCTATTACCAGTTGCTGTTTGAACAGGTTTTTAACCCATGTGCACTGCCTGTTACTCTAGTTTCAGGTCTTTCTAAACTCTTTTCATGTGTGAGACTCATCTCCCAACCTCCTTTATCTCTTTCCCCTGCCTTTAAAGCGTGTGGTTTCTGGTGGCAGTTTGTGTGTTTGTTCCCCAGCTCTACCTAACCAAACAGGACATACATTCAGCTTAACTGATGCCCAGTGTGGTACAACAGTCTTTCTCCTAGTCTTGCCTCTTCATGTCATTTGAAGTTCTGCTCTGGTCTATCACAATACAAATCTTTGTTGTATATGGTTTAGATGATCTACTGGCTTTCTCTTGTCTCCATTCTTGTAAATTCTTTTTAGACTCCTTGAATTAATGGATAGAATACTTTTTTTTTCCTTTCAGGCCCATACCTCCTTTTCTGGATTGTTTTTATTTTAATTTCAGATCAAAATCACGGTAGGACTTCATGTTGCATATTGTATCCTCTTCCATTCGTTCAAAATGCTTTGACAAAGTGTCTCATAGTTATTCTTTTTGTTCACTACAAGGTTAAAGCAGCCTTGCCTGTGTATGTTGTATGTAAGTAGTTCACTCCAGAAACTTTGGTCTGAATTCTTTACGTGGTAACTAAGTAACTAAATGGATGACTTGGTTCTTCAGAGGTACTGGGGAGTCAAAGACTCTTTATAAGAAAATAAAGAACTGAATAAAGTCACCTTGGTGAGAGCTCTACAGCGTTTAGAACATCTGACAATCAGGTCAATATTGTTGAGGGTGTATAGGAGTTGAACAGCTGAACAGAATATTAGGATAAAGATGTCATGTTCAAACTCTGTATGATCCAAGATGAAAGAAAGGTGGAAATTTCTGCTTGAGCTTCCATTGTGAAAAATTACTATGACAGAAAAAACTCAGGATTTACTTTTCTGAGAACATACATTACCTTGTGATCTTCCAGATAGAAGGACTGGTAGCAAATTGGGAGCATCAAAAAAGTCAGTCTGCTTCTACGTTTTTGAGTATGCACACTGGGCTGTTATTCTCCTTCGCTGCACCAGAAGGCCACTTCATGTGTTTTTAGAGACTGTAATAATGAGGAAGTGTATCTGTGGCTCAAGCTAAGAAATGATTTTCTGTTTTACTTCATTTCTACAGGTTAGAAGCTGCCAAAGATGACTATCGCATACGCTGTGAAGAACTAGAAAAGGAAATTGCTGAATTGCGACAACAAACAGAAGAGCTTACTACACTGGCAGAGGAGGCTCAGTCTTTGAAGGATGAGATAGATGTACTCCGGTAAATTCTGATCCATTAACCGTTTTTTAACTATTAACTTTTGATCTATATTGTTCATGTACTTAGTCTTCATTAGCTTTTGTTTAAATAATTTTAATATTAAATATAAACACTATTTCAATGCCAAGGTTCTTTTGGATCCTCCAGCGAAGTACACAGACCACACAATTCTGCTTAAATTAGTTATTTATTATGTACCTAATCAATAACCGTGAGTAAACTTAGCAATCCTACACCATCTTAGGGTCATAACAAGTCACTCATTCGTATCTTGAGTATTCTTTACTCACCTTCATCATGACTTGGGCATCTGTTCTCATCAGGGAATGAGATCCTTTCCTTTCTGTGTTTGCATTATTTGGACTTTGGGTGGCGGTTTGATTCATCATATAATGATAATGTGAACATCACCTGTTACAGCTCTGTTTGCCACTGGATTTTAGCTCCCAAAGTTTTCATGGTTTGATGATGCGAGGGTTTTATAAGGCAGGGCAGCCGCTTGTACTGTGGAATGTAATCTTTCAGTAGTGGTGTCTTGCTGCCATGGGTTATTCAGAACAGTTATCCACTACCCACCTGTATCTCTCTTTCTGGCAAGGCAAGCAAGGCTTATTTTAATACTGCGTTTTCGAATTCACCAGCAGCTTCCTACCAAAGCTATCTGTCTTCACCTCCTCTGTCGTTAATATAAGGAATATATTCAGGCTGCATAGTTCTGTAAACTACCTGTGTGGACAGCATGGGTTCAAAGAGTAATTCCTTGCCCCAAAGAGATGATCCGCATTTCATTGGGGATTAAGGAGATTTGTCTTGCCTCAGTGTCCCATAAATTGACCATCAGTTCAACAGGGGATTCTCCAGATTTCTTAGGAGATTGAGTCTGTACATTGGTTGCTTCTAAAATGAAACTGGGGTCAGTAATAGTAGCTGGGTTGTGGGTGGTTGGGAGTGAAGGCTATTGATATCCTGGCAGTGCACCAGGCAGATTTTAAAAACTGAAATGTTATGAATGGAGCCTGCTGTTTCATTTTTTGAGAAGGAATCAGGCTCCAAAGCTCTTGTGGTACTTCTTGTGTCACCAAGTATATGCCACCCAGGAGGTAGATCTTTATGAATTTATTCCTGGCTATCTGACCTGGTTTGGCTTTGACAGAATCATAGCCCAGCCATGCTAGGCAGGCTCAAGTCAGCCAGCGCAGCTGACCTGAGTTAGCTACAGGTGTAGCCCATACCATAATGTCGTACTCATTATAAAGGGAGAAGGCTTATTGGGGAGAGGGAGCTGCTGGGGTTCCTCCTGCTCTGCCTCTGGCTTTTGGTGAGGACTGCTCTGCAGTAGGTCCTGACAACAGCATATTCATTTGGCAAACTATTTTTCTGTTTGTATTGGTGGGAGTTTCATTAAATCTGTTGTACTTTTATCTATGGGTCTTCTCTCCTTTTTCCCAGTTCCCCCCTGGTTAGTGAGGGTTCATTGGGTGATAGAGCAACTGTTACAGTTTAGCCCTTGGTACAGGCTAAACGTAGACGCTATCATTAAACTAAATTGAATGGCAGAAAATTTTATTCTTTACCCTCATAAAATTCAGGACTGCAGATCAATTTAGAATTGAAAGGAAGTGGGTTGGAGTGAAGATGCTTTAACTATTATTTTAAGATTGGAAGCCAATAAAAAGGATGTATTAGGAAGAGTCATAGTGTCTGAAAGTACCTCCATCAGCAGCTCTTTGAGTTGGCAAATAGTTATGGGAAGGAAGCAGACAATTTAAAAGTGAAAACATTAGTAATGGGAGGATATGATTGCTTTCTTTTTCTCCCCACGATGTCTCAGAATATCTTCTGCATTAAGGCAAAATACTGAGGAAGTTCAGGACATCTCATTTTGTTAGTTTTCAGAGTACAAATTTGACACAAATCTGTCCTTCCAGGCATTCTTCTGATAAAGTAGCCAAGTTAGAAAGCCAGGTGGAGTCATACAAAAAGAAATTGGAAGACCTGGGTGATTTGCGACGGCAAGTAAAACTCTTGGAAGAGAAGAATACTGTGTACATGCAAAATACTGTGAGCCTGGAAGAAGAACTGAGGAAGGCCAATGCAGCACGCAGTCAGCTGGAAACATACAAGAGACAGGTGAGAACATCGTCAGTGTAGCAATTCTCTGTATTGTTCAACACTGTCTATTCATAATATGGCTAATACCTCGAAGTAAAAAAGAAATTATGAACAAATAGCTCCTTGCGTTTAGAAGACTTCTGTGTTTTGTAGGTCCTCCTTTCCTGCAATTCTTATCATTATTTCGAGTTTACATTAGTATGCCAGTAAGGGGTATTTCTTTCTTTTAAAAAATCAACAGATTTTTTTTTTCTCAAATTATTACTGATTTGTATTCGGTAGTGGTGCTGGGATTAGAGCCTTTTCTTTCAGAAAAAGTATCCACTTTTCAGTTACAAATTTCCTGTAGTGAGGAACGCACCACAGCTGAGATTTATTCCTGTGGTTAATAACGCCTTTTTTTTTAAGATTCTAGTTTGTCTGATATGTCTGAATTTGTCCAGTTATGAAGAGAGAAGGACCTGTATCATCCCTGTTGTTTATATGCACCCAGCAGAGTACAAAATGTGTCACCAGCACACCCTCTGGAGTGAAAGGCATCTGTTTATCCTCCTGCTGATTAAAGTGCCATGTGATCTTTTTTCTGTAAAGGTAGAAGATGTGCTTAATCTTCCCTCTGCTTCTACATTGCATTGACATGACATCATTCTGGGATTCTTGTTACAGGGCCAGACAGAGCATGATTTGTTATAGTAGCAGTGCTTGCTCTGTATTTCTGCCTGCTCATAAGCTCAAATAGTCATGGCACAGGGGTCCAGCTTACAGCAGAATAAAAATACAGAAACAACTGTTAATAATACTGTGAGCCCAGAAGCAGTGTGTGTCCCTAAGACTTGATAGCTTTTCCCCTACACTTGGCCGTCTTAGTTATTAAGACAACTAGCTTCAGCCTCTGTGGGCTAATTGTAAGTACAGTCCAAATGATTCCACCAGAAAAAAAGAACTTGGACAAGAAAAATGCTGAAATAACAGAAAATCAAAAGGAAAAGTAAATGTAAGAATAGTATCATGTTTACTGTCAACAAATATTTCACTCCATTGAACAGCTGAGCATGTGATACAGTTGTGTAACCTTGACATCTGCATCTGATTGTTCTTATTTCACCAACAAGGACTTTGGAGGGGGCAGTCCCATCATTTGTGCTGCAAAAGTACTTCTCCTTTTCTTCATCATTCTCTATGTTTTATGGGTAGGATTTAATGTCTGAGGAGCTGTTGATTTGTACAAAACTGTTCTGTTGGCTGAGACTGGAATAAACCCCATATATCTTGTGGCAGATGTGAGTTTTCTTCACCTAACCACGGTGCCTCAAAATGAACACACAGTGTGTTTGCCTTTAGTGTCTGTAAGGCTGGGCTCCTTTTGAGAACTGCCTGTGAGTCATGAGCTGTCACAAAATTGATTTCTGGGAATCCTAAACTGTGCTGTAAGAACTAAGTAAGGTGTAAGTATTCTGATGTTATGTCACTGCTGAGCATTAGTATGCCCCTTTAGTGGAATGTGTCTTGTCTGGTGTGTGAAAGATCCAACCCCACTTATGATGATGCCATCAGAGGAGTTATTTCTTTGGCTTAGAAGCTCTGCACTGTGCAGGTGAAAGTGCTTGGTTCAAACTCCTATAGTGATCTGCAAGAAAATCACATCTTCACCCCATCCAGCAGTTTCTGTGAGATGAGGTTAGTGGTAGTGTATTATGCTGGGAGATGTAGCAGCATTGTTGATGTAAGAGGTTTTGTTCACTTTTCTCAAAGCAAGCACAAGCGTTTTCTGAGAAACTTTTCATTGCAGCATGAATAATTGAAGTGTGAAGATTCCAGGTTTATTTTTTGTAATTTTGATTCAGCCCCTTTGTGCATGTGCCTTCTGATATACTTTTTATATATATTTAACAGTACATCTTACTTTTCTTTGCTGCAAGTTTCCTGCTTTACTCGTTCCACATGTCAGATAGTGCTCAGTAAATGTGATGAATGTGATGACAGTTCTTTTTTTTTTTTAATCATCTGCATTACCATGTAGCTGTGTATTTTTCTATACACTCCCAAGTCCTGATTCAGGACAATTTATTTC